GAAATGGATCACAGCTGCAGAACTGCTTTACCCTAAGAATAAAGACAGCAAGAAGATAACGTACGTCCAGATGAGGGGATAGCTCGAGTTCCCGCAAGTAAAACGCACGAAAATACTCTTCCAAGCATCTAAAAATCGCTCAATATAGTGCACACCAAAGGCTCTCACAGACATTAACTACGAAGGTAGGATGACGGTTACTAAGCCCCAAGTGGCCATCGTAGCCTTCCTCGTCTTTGTCGGTAAGGGTCTTCTGTCCATAGCATGCTACCTAACCAGCGGCTACTAGCGCAGCTCGAGAGCGAGACCCAAGGACCAAGGCGGCGAATGAGTCCCCTAACCGATCATTGAGCGTCCATTCCTCTAAGGTAGGATATGAGCATATATACACCGTCGAAGACTTTGGCGCAAGAACGTTACTGATATGCAAATGGTAACAAAGGCGGTTTTACGGGTGGCGATCAAAAGCCCAATGGTCCCTCGGTTTCTGGATGAGTTGACCGTCCTCTTGCCGAAAATTGGCTTGCAAAAATTTCTTTATTTCCCACGACGAGTCAGCACACACAAAGGCAGTCGTCTGCTACCCACTGTCTGGCTAGCGATGTCCTATTGGACAGTGTCTCGACGCGGACCATTTATAAGCGTAGCCTCTGTGTGGCAATGACTTGCCCTAACTTGCTTTGTGTGAATATAAGCTGCTCGTGGTCACTCGTGTTCTCTGGCTTCTCTCGTACGGACCTTGGGTACAGCGAACGGGCTAGCTTACTGTTCGTGCTAATCACGAGTGTCAGGCGCGGGTCATAACACCTGTGTGAGTTCGACCACCGTAATCGGTGATGTCCACCATATGCCCGAGAGCAGGGACGGTGACTGCGGCCAATTAGAGTGAAAGCAGACGCGCCGCTCTCTACCCCACTCTAAGCCGTCATCAGCTTTGTTCAGTGACAAGACATAGTCGAGATAACCGAGCAAGAATCAGGCGTAAGCTGCTTTGTCCAACCAGAAATACCGCCTAACTTAAAATTTAGTGACAGTAGACTTTTCGCGGGTACTACTGCACTGTCTACGCTCACTCACCTGTAGTAGGTGTCTAGCCTGATCCTAGGTAGCCAGGTCTCGCTCTGCTAACAACAACTACTGCTATTTCTAATATTCCTATTATGGTGCAACTGAGTGATATGCTCGCTGGTACTATTTCAGTCTGTATTGTAAATCAGAAGTGACGCTGGTAAAAGTCAGCACAGGGTTCATATCCCCTCAATCTCAACAGGTGTAGTAGTACTGGTGCTAGCAATGATGCCAACATTTGTCAGTGTTGACGCTGACGAAGCCTTCGCTAGGGCTCATATCCCCTTGGTCTCAGCAAGGAATGTGAATCTGGGTTTAACTATTTCGGGTAAGTACATGCTTGGGGTCCTGAGTAAAGCTGTGTTTGCCTTGGT